TTAAAAAAAAAAAAAAAGGTGAAAGAATTGACTTTTCCAGCTGCAGAGGTTGTACAGATCCCAGAATGGTATGACTGAGGCAAAGCTGGACCAGACAGATTACTGAAGACTAGAGTCCACATGCCTGGCTGCTTCCAAACCCTACTCTGGTTTGTGAATGTGGTTTGACAGTTGTCAATTAACTTAAAGAAATACAAGGTGGTGAAGCTTTAAAAGGTGTATGCAAATCTACTTCATTGTTTTGCTCTGGCTTAAGCTTAGCAATTAGTTAGTGCACTACTTCTTCCACAGGCTCAGAAAATGCAATAACCTGTCAGAGGGACCTCGACATCACTCTGGAAGCATGGTGACAACTTCCTTTACTAGGCTGGTTCATTCATCTCCAGAAGTGCTCTTTGGAAATAGTTTAAGAGAACCATTCTGTGATTGCCACCTATCCGTTGTCCCCTGGATTTATAGGGACAATTTGAGTTACACTGTATGAACTTTGACAAGCTATCTTCCTTATGTACATTCAATGTGGCATCTTATATAGTCATAGAAAGTTATTTTATGTGAATCTGTTTCTTGTCCTTACTTTTAGCATACCAAAAGCCCAAGTTCAGATTTTCATTCTATGAACAGGTGTGGCAGATGATGTATCGTATTGACACTGAAATGAAGGAAATAGCTATTTGAGACTTCAAATCCTAGAGTGAAATCACACATGGGAGATAAAAATGATCCCATGTTTATAGCACTTTATTTTCACAGAATAATATATGGTCCATCCTACTTAATATATAACCAAATTATGATATTGGAATATAAACTGTAATTACCAGTATAAATATAGGGTGTCTCAAAAAAATGTATACACACACATTGAACAATTTTAAAGGCAGTGTTTATTAAAATACATTTCATATTAAAAATTTAGTATCAGCTGTTAAAGTATGTGTACATTTTTTGGGGACACCCTGTTGATAACTGCATCATTTCTAAATACTCAGTGTCCATTGTAACAAAACTAGGTGCTTATGATGACACCAAGGTAATTGTCTCTTTGTGTCTGAGGTTCACAGATCAAATGCTGTTGACTCTAGCTGAGAACATACATGTATAGGATGTCTCTGAAATTTTGTAGTTCAAGTCTTAAAGACTTGGTGGCAAATTACTACATGGACATGTCAACATTAGTGATGGTAGAGTATAATGCTCTAAATAGATTCTGTTATAAAGATGTAAATTTCTCATATAGGTAAGACAGAGCATAACTAAAAAGCTATCAGTTCTTCCTGTGATTACTTCCCAGTAGCTTAGAGTATTACAAATGTGTTCTGATATATTTCCATTTCAGGCCACATTCAGTTTTTTATTTGGCATAATTCAGTTGTCAGAGTAGAAGCAGTATGTTTGCTCACGAAAGATTTCACATGGAGTTGGATGCTATCATGCAAATCTTGTCTTGAAAGCCGTCTTCTGAACTCATTAGTGGTGAAGTAATATATGACTGGGTCAAGGCAGGAATTCAGACTAGCAAGACATAGAGCAACAGAATGGAATATCAGAATCACCCTTCTGGCTAGGCAGCTTTTAATTTTGTTGGACTTGACCAGGAAATCTAAAGGAAAACTGAAGTGATAAGGTGCAAAGCAAATTAAGAACACTCCTGCACAGGTTAAAATCATCTTCAAGGCTTTCTTTTTCTCTCCAAGGTCTTGGGCCACAGGATATTTATCTTGCAGTGATAAAACAGCCTTCCAGGTACAATATAGGACAATCAGAAGAGGAGTGACAAACCCAATCAACTCGCCAATGGTCATCATGGCAACAGACTGGGCCAGATTGACATTCCTGGTAGGAAGATCTACAAAGCATTTAGTTCTGTTGCCTGGGGTGTCATCACTGGTTCTCAGGAGAGGAAAGAGCAGACAGGCAAGGCAGATGATCAACCATCCAGCAATGCTGATGTATAGGTCATATTTCTGTTTGCAGTCACGGAAGCGAAAGGGGTACATGAGAAACCAAAATCGTCGCACGCTGATGCAGACCAAAAAATAGATGCTTGCATACATATTGACATACTTCAGGTAGAAACAGAACATGCAGAGGCCAGGCCCAAATGGCCAGTCATGATTCAAGTAGTAAAAGATCCTCAGTGGTAAGGAGAGAACTTGTAGTAAGTCAGCAATGGCTAAGTTTATCATGAATATCACAGCCCGTTTGGTTTCTTTCATATAGCCATAAAATATCCACAAGGCTAATATGTTCCCTATGAGACCTGGCACAAGAATGACAGTGTATGTCACTGCATAGATAAAGTATCGAAAATCTGTATTGTCTACATCTGGACCAACACATGGGTCATTAACAGGCATTTTTGTTCCTAGAGAAAATGTCTTTGCCAAATGGTAGTTCAAAACCTAAATTCACAATCAACTGCTGCTCTTTTTTAAAGATTGATCATCAATGAGTTAAAGAGACTGACTACAAAATAACTCCCTTCTTACTGTACAGGCCTGAGCCTCCACACATGATTGTCATAGCACTATTTGCATATTTGTTTTGGATTTGCTACAGTAACTACATGGAAGTCTAGTGTGCAAGCACAGATGACAATCTTATAATTTCCCCTTTTGTTTACTCTGTTATAAGGCTTTCTGGAACATCATGACAGTTGATTCTCCCATTTTGATCATGAATATGCCATGTAGCAGTTCTTCAAATTCACATATGATGATATCCGTCACTATACAGGTGTTTTACAGGCTGTTTCTCTTATTATGGCTCACATAGGAGAAAGGCTTGTTTTAGTACTCAGTGGGTCTGCAGCTCTTCAGAGATGATCAATGTGGATAGATCAGCTTTTCTGGGACTTTTCAGTTATGTGTTGAAAGCTAAAAGGAGGGAAACAAAGGCAGAGCTGCAAGTGAAGAAAAAAATATTATTGTCTGGCACTTTTTGCAAAAAAAAAGAGAAAAAAAGCCCATGTGTAGAAAAATCTCTCAGTTTGAATTGGAAGTTCTAATGTGAGTGAGGGTGATATACCACTGTTTCTATAAGGCACTTCAGAATTATAGAAAAGTATAACTAGAAGGATTCTGAGAGATAATATAAGCCCTTGTTATTCAAAACGTGATCCTGAACTAGCATTATTTGAGAGCTTGTTAGAAATACAGAAGAATCTCCTGCCCCACCCGATACCTGCTGAATCACTATCTGCAGTTTAACAATAACTACAGGTTATTCTTTTGTATAATAGCATTTGAGAGATTCTGATTTAGACCATTGCTTCACAAACCTCACCCATCATCAGACTCATCTGGGGACATAGTAAAAAATATACAGCTTTTCATAGTTTTCTTGGTGTCTCCCCCAGAGATTCTGATTCAATATGTATGGCCCAAAATTCATATTTTTAAAAAATCTCCCCCATATTATTCAGATACAGCCAAACCAGCATTTGTTCTTGAGCCATTATTTAGGGACCACTGATTTGGTCCAAATCCTTCCCAGATGTCTGAGATGAAGTGGGCAAGCAGCCTCTCTTTAAATACTTCCATTTTTATTGGTCATTTAAGTTACCTCTCAGTTATCCAAGACAATAAACCACAGCACAAGTAAGAGAATCAAAATTCCCAGAAAGTTTATTCAGCTGGCTCTACGACCTTTATTCTGAGGTAAACAAACTCTAGCTTAGGTACCTGGATAATTACCCCAATGCTGCTGAAATCCAGGAGGACTTAAGTGACTTTAAAGATATATGGGAAGAATAAAAATGAAATAGGAATTATGAAGCATCCTGCTTTGGATTATCAAATCCATGTGGTTTGAACTGTGCTTGATTCAGCCCTTGAAGATATTGTTACTGCTATTATTTTGACTCATTTGCCTGTTAAGTAAGAGACAATTTTTGTTCAAAGATATGGTGCGCACTTTAATTAAAAGTCTTGATGAATGATATGAACAATGCATTTAGGTTAAAGAGATTAAATACTTAATATTTCTCAGATAAGGGAGGAGTGAAATGGTGTTATAAAATACAAGGAAGTACAACTGTAGAGAACTTAAATATTGAAAGTGTGCTTAAAATTAGAGGTCTTTCAGCTACTAAACTTAAATGCATCTTTGAAATATTTTTACAGGGACTGATTATGATTAAGTGAAAGGAGAAATTGGGTAGCATAACAAAAAGTAAAAAGCTCTGGATTTTAATTTCCTTTTAACTATTTAGAAAAAAGGCATTGCCAACTAATGTTACTGATTAGACATTAGAGTTTTAAGTATACATCCAGTCAACCACTACTGAACTTTCATTCACTTCTCTTGTATTGGCCAATGACTCTTAAATCTATATAATCTCATCTGAGTTGTAGCTCTATTTCCAATTATATATAAGACCTCTTCTCTTGGATGTTTCATCATCATCTCAAATTCACTATAAAAATTAAAGTGAAGTTACCTTTTACATTTATTTAAAATGCCATATCTCCACATGGAGGCTAAATAGCATGTTATTAAACAATGAATGGGTTACCAAGGAGATCAAGGAAGAAATCAAACACTTCATGGAAAGCAACGAAAATGAACAGAAAACAATCCAAAACCTATGGGACACAACAAAAGCAGTCCTGAGAGGAAAATTCATAGCATTACAGGCCTATCTCAAGAAACAAGAAAAAGATCTAATGAAACATCTAACACAACAACTAAAAGAACTAGAATGAGAACAGCAAGAAAAGCTCAGAGGAAACAGAAGGAAGGAAATAATAAAAATCAGAGCAGAGATGAACGACATAAAGACTAAAAAAACAATACAAAAAAAAAAAAATCAATGAAACCAAGAGCTGGTTCTTTGAAAAGATAAAGACGATTGATGCACCTTTAGCCAGACTCATTAAGAGACAAAGAGAGAGGACCTAAATAAATAAAATCAGAAATGAAAGATGTGCTATAACAACTGACCCAACAGAAATACAAAGGATTGTAAGAAAATATTATGAGCAATTACATGCCAACAAGTTGGACAACATGGGGGAAAAGGACAAATTCCTAGAAGCATACAACCTTCCAAAGCTGAATCAAGAAGAGTCAGAAAACCCGAATAGGCCGATAACAAGTAATGAAATTGAAGCACTAATCAAAAAATACCCAGCAAACAAAAGTCCTGGACCAGATGGATTTACAGGTGAGTTTTACCAAACATTCAAAAAAGAATTAACACCTCTTCTATTCAAACTATTCCAGAAAATTCAAGAGGAGGGAAAACTCCCAAACTCTTTTTATGAGGCCAGCATCATCCTAATTCCAAAACCAGATAAAGATACTACAAAGAAAGGAAATTACAGGCCTATATCCCTGATGAACATAGATACTAAAATCCTCACGAAAATACTAGCAAACCAGATGCAGCAATATATTAAAAAGGTGATACATCATGACCAAGTGGGATTTATTCCAGGGATGCAAGGCTGGTACAAAATCCACAAATCAATAAATGTGATACATCACATAAACAAAATGAAGGACAAAAATCATATGATCATATCAATAGATGCAGAAAAAGCATTCGACAAAATCCAGCACCCATTTCTGATAAAAACTCTCAGCAAAGTGGGAATAGAGGGATCATACCTCAACATAATAAAGGCCATATATGACAGACCTACAGCCAACATCATACTCAATGGGCAAAAACTAAAACCATTTCCATTAAAAACCGGAACAAGACAGGGATGTCCACTTTCACCACTCTTATTCAACATAGTACTGGAAGTCCTCGCCATAGCCATCAGACAGGAAGAAAACATAAAAGGTATCCAAATTGGAAAGGAGGAAGTAAAACTGTCATTATTTGCAGATGACATGATATTGTACATAGAAAACCCTAAAGACTCCATCAAAGTACTACTAGATTTGATAAACGAATTTGGCAAGGTAGCTGGATACAAAATCAACATCCGGAAATCAATGGCAATCTTATACACCAACAATGAACTTTCAGAGAGAGAAACTAAAAAAGCAATACCATTTACCATTGCAACTAAAAAAATAAGATACCTAGGAATAAACTTAACCAAGGATGTAAAAGACCTGTACTCAGAAAACTACGTGACACTGAAAAAAGAAATAGAGGAAGATTTAAACAAGTGGAAGAATATACCATGCTCATGGATTGGAAGAATTAATATCATTAAAATGTCCATACTACCCAAAGCAATTTATAAATTCAATGCAATTCCTATTAAAATACCAACAGCATATTTCACAGACCTAGAACAAACATTTCAAAAATTTATATGGAACCAAAAAAGACCCCGAATAGCTGCAGCCATCTTCAGAAAAAAGAACAGAGTGGGAGGGATCACATTACCAGACTTCAAACTGTATTACAAAGCCACTGTAATCAAAACGGCCTGGTATTGGTACAACAACAGGCATATAGATCAATGGAACAGAACAGAGACCCCAGAAATAGACCCACGCCGTTATGGTCAGTTAATATTTGACAAAGGAGGCAAGAGTATCCAGTGGAGTAAGAACAGTCTCTTCAATAAGTGGTGCTGGGAAAATTGGACAGATACATGCAAAATAATGAAACTAGACCACCAACTTTCACCATACACAAAAATAAACTCAAAATGGATAAAATACTTAAGCGTAAGTCAAGAAACCATAAAAATCCTGGAAGAAAACATGGGCAGTAAAGTCACAGACATCCCATGTAGTGGAATTTTCATTGATACATCTCTTAGGGCAAGAGAAACAAAGGAAAAAAATAAACATATGGGACGACATCAAACTAAAAAGCTTCTGCACAGCAAAAGAAAGCAGCCTCAAAATACAAAGGAACCCCACGGTCTGGGAAAACATATTTGCCAAGGATGTATCTGATAAGGAGCCTATTTCCAAAGTGTACAAAGAACTCATAGCACTCAGCAAGAGGAAGACAACCCAATTAAGAAATGGGCAAAGGACATATATAGACACTTCTCCAAAGAGGACATAGGGATGGCCAAGAGACACATGAGAAAATGTTCAAGGTAGCTAATCATCAGAGAGATGCAAATTAAAACCACAATGAGGTATCACTTCACACCTGTCAGAATGGCTGCCATCAACAAATCAACAAACGACATGTGCTGGGCGGTGGGTGGTGTGGAGAAAAAGGAACCCTAGTACACTGCTGGTGGGAATGCAGACTGGTGCAACCACTATGGAAAACAGTATGGAGGTTCCTCCAAAAATTAGAAATGGAGCTGCCTTTTGACCCAGTGATCCCACTTCTAGGAATGTGTCCTAAGAATCCTGAAACACTAATCAGAAAGAATATATGTACCCCGATGTCCATAGCAGCACAGTTTATAATAGCCAAGATCTGGAAACAGCCTAAGTGCCCATTGGTAG